TGAGCTGATCAAGTGAGTTGGTGAGAAGGTTTCTCGTGGCTGTGTGTTGTTGCCAATCGTGCGTGTTGGTGTGTGGAGATTCCACAACACTCAAGTCTAAGCTCACAGGGAATTTAGCTCAGGATTAGGTTATCCTGAAGAATCCATGTTATTGAACAGAGCAGTAAATTAAGAAGTTATACTTGATTTACGCTTTTGCGAATAAGTTGTATTTGCTTTCTGGTTCTAGTGGATTTGATTTATGGACTTTCTCTTGTGTCATTTATTTTTTGTATTACATATTACCTCACTTGCGTTTACAAACATTTTGTATGCCTTCTCGTGTATAAATATTAAATTGTAATAGCAGAAAAAGAGAATCCAATTATTGTTTCTTCCTTAATCCATATTGCCAAACTTTACAAATTAATGGCGACTCACAATTTCTCAATCTGTTCAGTTTTCGTTAACGCTCGTCATAAACACACTCAACGTTTCTGCAACACCGTCTCCAAAACGGTGTCGTCGGCTCAGGCTGTCACCATCAGCCGCCGCTCGGCCAACTATCGTCCGCCTCTATGGGATCATCAATATCTCCTCTCTCTCGAGAATATATATGCGGTACATGCATACATAATATAATATACTATAAATCCATTCGACATTTATTAATTGTTAAGTTTCATAAGTTTCCAACTCAAAACCGTTATATACCTAAATGTATATTTTTTTGTTAGTTTAGTTTTTGATATTAAATTTTTGTCCAATATATAGAAAGAAGTTGAAGTTGTGGAGAAAGCTAAGTTGTTGAATGATGAGGTGAGGAGGAGACTATATGAGACCGAAGGTTCTCTTGAGCAGCTAGAAATGATCGATTCTCTGCAAAGACTCGGAATCTCGTATCATTACAAGCACGAAATCCATATTATTTTGAACAAAGTTCACGATCAGCACGGCGAAATTGGGAGGAAATCACAAGATCTTTATGCGACCGCACTTGAATTTTTTCTCCTACGGCAACATGGTTTTGATGTCTCACAAGGTTATCACATATGACCTCACTATATAATAATAATTCATAGTTTTAATAAACATGTGTTCAATCAAGTGATCGTGTAGCTAAACATGTTGAGTAATTCCCTTAAAAAAAAGGTTTTTACGATTTGATTCCTAAACAAAAATCATAATAACGTAATCGTATATATATAACATATATTGCAGATGATTTCGACGTTTACAAAGATAATATGGGAGTATTCAGAGAAACTTTATACAACGATGTCAAGGGTTTACTCTACCTATATGAAGCTTCATATTTTTCGATGGCTTCAGAGTTTAAACTCAGGGAGGCTAGAACTTTTGCAAGTGAGCGATTAAGCGAGTTTGTCGCGGAAAATAGCAAAACTATATGCGGAAGAGATGATGTTTACATGCTAGAAATGGTGAAACGAGCACTAGATATGCCTTACCATTGGCGCATACGAAGATTAGAAGCAAGATGGTACATAGATATGTACCGAAACAAGCTTGACATGAACCCTCTCTTGCTAGAGTTCGCAACACTTGATTTCAACATGTTACAAGCTAATCATCAAGAGGAGCTTCAATTAATTTCTAGGTAATTATTAAGTAATCTTCTGTACATGTTTTTATTTCTCAAAGTGATATATATATATGAGCTGACTAATGAGCTTCTTGTTACAATTTTAATGCAGTTGGTGGAATAGCTCGGGACTTGTGAAACAACTTGATTTCGTGAGAGACCGAGTAACAGAGAGCTATTTTTGGAGCATCGGAATATATTACGAGCCAGAGTTTAAATACTACCGCAAGATACTCACCAAATTGTTCATGTTAATTGCGATCATGGATGATATCTACGATATCTATGGTACATTAGAGGAGCTTGAGATTTTCACAAATGTGGTCGAAAAGTAAGTACAATGTTGGATCATGAACTTTTTCTCAACCATTTGAGGAGATATGAAATCGACTCTCGTGCTCAAGAATCTTGCAGAGGAGTCGCCAGCAGATCATATATACTTTAAATTTTTCTCTTATAATATCAAATTAAACCATTCATATAATTATATACTCTGTTTTTTTTTTCTTCAGATGGGATGTGAACCATGTCGAAAGACTTCCGGAATACATGAAAATATGTTTTCTTTTTCTATACAATGAGATCAACCAAATCGGATACGAAGTTATCAGGGACAAAGGACTTAACGTCATTCCTTACCTCAAACAAGTTGTAAGTTTTCCTAATAATTTCGATTATAAATCATTTGATATAAAATGTAAAACAAATACATTGATGTTTTGTTAAAAAAATTCCCTAGTGGACGGATCTATTTAAAACGTTCCTAACCGAAGCGAAGTGGTACAATACTGGACACAAACCAAGTTTCGAAGAATATATGCAAAATGGTTTGATCTCGAGTTCTGTCCCAACGATTTTGCTCCATCTTGGATCCGTCTTCTCAGACCACATCTCTGACCAAACCCTAACCGATGTTTCCAAGAACCACCACCCCGTCATCCGGAGCTCCGCCACTATTCTCCGTCTCGCCAATGATCTCGCCACCTCAACGGTATACATTAGTAGTTAATTAACTTATCATAATTTTTGGTATATCCTCATTGATTCTAGCTAATATTTAATATTCTAGACCGACATCGAGAACTGAGAGATTTCTGTAGTAAAATATAATGAACGTCAACCTCG